TACAACACTCGAGAGACCTTGTAGCGTGACAGAACTAAGGATTGGATTCGACATATCAGAGCCGTCAGTCTCCGATGGTTTGTCCAGATTTCTAGCCGTTATTGGGTCTTCACTGAAACGTTTGACATTGAACACCTCAAGCTTTGAGCTGAATGGGAACGCGGTTCTCCAAAATTGCCCAAATCTGGAGGAATTATCACTTTGTGGAGGAGAAATGATGGATATGAAGCTCGACTTTAGCTCGTTTCGTGCAAGCAATGAGGCTATTCCAGAGCTTGTGTTTGAATGGGATACTGTCAGTGCACTGGCGAATGAGCTAAGTAACCAGAACAATCCGCTCTCCAAGTGCTTGCGTCGACTTCGAGTCTACCTAACCGATGAGCGGCCACCGTGGGGAATCATCGGTGCCGTCCGCAGCAACCGCCCTACATTCGAAGCGGATTTAAGCGTACTTCTGAACATGTTGGACGTCAACAAGACACTGGAGTATCTCGATGTGGTCGTTCCGTTTGGACATTTTCTCTACCTGAACGACTTTCGAGCGCATCACTTGAAGCCTATTGATCGATCGCTCAAGTTGCCTACCGAAACTAAGGTCGCGTTCTTGAGTGTTTTCTTGTCTCGAGAAAATCCGGCAGAAAGGAAGAAATCTAAGCGGAGAACGACTAGAGGAATGCAACTGATGCGTCCAATCTGTCAGCTGGACCAGCACGTGATGTCGAAGATTTTGGCGTTCACTGCCCCTCGTGTACTTCGCAAAGTGTATTTGCATGGCCCCCCACGCAACAATTTTGAAGAACCAGACCAAATACCTATTTAAAAAGGTTCTAGGAAAAATAAAACAAGTGCATTCATTATATTGCAAATGACAAGCGCGATTGTATTGTTTTCACTAATTGCAAAATAAAGTAAGCAAGAAATTAAATTTTAATTAGCTAAGCCGTGCTATTTTCGGTTCTAATCGACTCGCAGAATATTCACAATACTATCGTGGTTTATCGATAAGACCTTGACTTATTTATAAAACTTACATTTCAAATTGCCTGGTATGAACACCAGTTTAACACTGCAGACACTGGCAGAATCCTGTCGCGTATCGGAAAATCAACCATTCTTGTTGGACCAATCTCAACTTCCTTGCTTCTTGGTGCACGGATCACAAGGGACGTGTCACTTAAATGTGAAGGACACCTGAGGCAGAGGTTTGGAGCGAACCCCGCCGCTCAAAGTACGTACACGTTACGATCGAGATTCGTTCAAACTGCGCCATCCCAGCTAGCAGATGCTCCAGAACTATTTGAGAGACTCCAGCCCGAATGAATGCTCGATATAGTTTGCTCCTATCTCGGTGTTCAGCTCCTCGTTGTCATATCAAGAATAATTTGTGCTAAGTCTTGAAGTTAAAGTGATCGCACGTGGTCAGTGATGACCAGTTCTATCCAACCCATTCTGGATATATGATAATTCGACACGGGTAATGCTAACACAGATCCTCATAAGCATCACATACTGTGGATTAAGGTAGTTACAGAGGTAGGAAAATGCTCTTACTCCTTCTTGCCTACCGAG